TAGTTTAGCTTCTGCGCTGAAAAAATGTAATTTGAAAATAAAACAAAGCAGGTCATAACCTTTCGTGTCATTTGACAAGTGACGAAAGACATATTCATGTTTAGATAACTTATGCAAGGATAATTCTTTCTATGGATGGAAGGAAGTGAAATTATTTAGATTTAAGTGAACAAATTATTTACCTCGTTACTTTGAAGGAAAACTTTCAGCGCTCTAATTTTTCATTTTTTTTTTGTACTTAGCTTTCATCTTTACATTTACGATGCTTTATGGAAAATATAAAGAAATTAAAAAATAAGACTGTTAAGAGTGAGATTAAATTTCATAAGAAAAAGGTATCTAATTAATTTATAGGTACCTTTCTTATGAAATTTTATCAGAAGTGTACATAAAATACTATAATTTTATGTATATTTATTACATTTTACTGTGTTATTTGTATTTCCATTCATTTTATTATTAATTTTGATATTTCATTTATGGAAAAATGTCATAACTGAGATTAATAAAAAATAAGATCATATAAATTAAAGTTTAGCAATAGGTAAATTTCATAAGATGATACTGATACTTGTAGGTACCCTTCTCAGTTGAAATTGAAAAATCAAATTAACTTCTCCATACGTGTTTCGCAAAAGTAAAGGCCTTAACAGCGGAGAACAATGCTGAACTCAAATAATGCAACTAAATTGTATTCTGGTTGGTCTTCCGTACTTTATAATTACTGTCCGATTATAAACACAAAATTACATTTTTTAATTACCATGGCTAATCTGATTGGTCCAAATGATACAATTTTCAAAGCGCTAGACAATGACAATCTCATATGGACATTTTGAAAGGTTGATGTTGCTTTTAACTAATGTTAAAATATTTTTTTTAAAATTCAATTTAAAAAAAATCTTTTAAAATTAAAGAAAAAGAAATAATTGTATTAAAAATTCAATTTTCATTGAAAAAATTTTTTTGCTTTCAGAAAATATTGTCCATATTCATAAAAACAAAAAACAAATAAAAGCATTTGAAATTAAATAATATATTTGTTTTATTGAGTTTTGTATGTTACAATTCAGAGCTGATTTTTCAGGTACGTGGGCCAAAAAAAAAAAAAAAAAAAAAACATGATTTTCATTCTTCAAAGCCTTGTGCTTTTTTAACTATTGTAATCACTAAGGTTGATGGTCTGAATTTCTAGAGTTTTTCATAAAATTAGTTATGGGGGTGTTAATAAATATAAAAAAAATATTTCTGCCATGACTTTAAAAAAAAAAAAATATTTATAATAATTTCGATCATCTGTGAATAGTTTCTGAAAGTTTCATTAACATCTGACAATTATTTTATTTTTGCAAGATTTTCCAAATTAATGTAAAACAAAATAAAAAAAAAAACGTGCTAAAAATTATTTATGTTATTTACTGGCCCCTGTTGGTACAAAGAGAAACAAGGTTTTTTTTTTTTAATCAAAATTTAGAATATTCTAAAAGATGGAAAGTTTTTTAAAAAATAATTAAAAAACTTTGGTCTTTCCTCTTCATAAAAACAATCAAGTAGACGATAAAATTTTGTTTTCATAAAGTTTGGCGTCTTTTTCATCAGACTGTGCTCTATTTTTTAGCGATTTTGTGGAGTTACCAGATGTCATTTATGGTCACCCATAAGAACTGCCATCGCCTTAAGTTCTTCTCCATAAATTAATAAAGATCACTAAGAAATGCTTGTATGCTACATTACAATATTTATTTCAAATCAGATCAACTTTAAATTTTCTAATTTTACTCAAATAACGTGCCACAAATCTATAATTTAATTTTTAAAGAATTTAAAACCAGATGTGTTTTACAAATTTCTTAAAATTAAGAAAATGGTTTTTTAACAAAAAAAAAAAAAAAAAAAAAAAAAAGAAAAAAGTCCGTCAACTATTTGACATTCCAATCTTATGTAATTTTATTTGAAATATCATTAAAATATTTTCTTGAAATAATAAACTTAATCCTTTAACTTTCAATTAAAGCTAAAATGAAATCTTCAAGAATGCTTTTTCATTTTTAAAGTTTAATTTCAAAACTTAGGTATCGAAAATTCAGTGGTGAATTTATAGAAACAAATCACCACGCACTAAGATTTCAAAAATAATTAAAAAATATTTTTTATAAAATGATATTTATTTTGAAATTGTCTGACCATACACAACATCACCAGAAAATAAGATTTATGACTATAGTAAATTTGAAGTCAACATTACTAAAATTATATTACGGAGAATATTTTCCAACATTTTTAGAGAGAACGCGGTAATTATTATTCATTATCAAATATTAATAAAAAATAAAAATTCAATCACAGGCAAGTAGACTTCTAAACTTGGCTAACTAACAATTTTTTTTAAAACATCTTTTTTTTTTCAGAAGAAATAAATTAATGCAACAATACTGATCAACTGCGAAAGCAAAAGCCATCCAGAAGTTGATTATGTGAATTGCAACGAAAGAAAAGTTAAATAATCAACATCAGTCGTCATTTGTTGTTCCTTCTATTTACCAACCTCCCCACAAGACCAGTTTTTAACGGTGAGGCGTTCCGAGCCCGTATACACGGGGTTGGGTTTGTCTACAAAAGAGACGGCCCTTCGACATAGCCTCGTCTGGGGTTCCTCTCCGCCTGGGGTGAAGAGAGGAAAAGGAAGAGAAAGCCCTCCTGTTCTTCTTCCCTAATCGCTTTCTAATGTAAAAACTCATTCCTTCCGATGTCACGTGGCGCCAATGAAGCCGGCAATCCCACTGGTAAACATCATTTAGATTTCATTATTAAAGTAATAATAACTTTTTTAAAAAAGTAGACAACTGCCTTATTTTATGTTACGGGAAAACGAAAATGGGCGATTGTAAACAGTTTGTATTTTTTTGTTTTTTTTTAAATATATATTTTTAAGTCAGCATGTGAAGATACCCCCCCTTAACTCGGCCAATTAAAAAGCCAAAATAATTTCCCAATTTGAAATTAAGATAAATTGCGTAAAGAAAAATGTCTTCAGAAACGGTTATGCTTACTTCCATGAAGAAAGAAATGGAATTATATTAAAAATATAAATTAATGAAAAATAATGCAACTTTTATTTACTTGGTTTATTAAAACAAAAATAAATAATATTAATATTGAATTTTGAAATTTCCATCCAAAGAATGACACGAAGATTAAAAGTCAGTGAGAGAGAGAGAGAGAGAGAGAGAGAGAGTCACTAAGGCAGTAGAGTACCAGCCAGAACTTTCTAAATGGGGTACGTACTTGTGCTGACTTAAAATTATGTACACAAAAGCAGTAATCACCTTTTATTATTCGGTAACAAATAACACCAATCCTTAAGAGAGTTAAACAGATAAAAGAAAAATAGGATAAATTAAATTCTAAATCAATTATTATCACCAACAGGGAATACGTAAAGTGATACTATTTCAAATGCACCTCAGTTATAAACTGGTGGTGCGAAAAAACCAATTACACCATTTCGTCACCGCTACGCATATTAATATGGACAAAATATGAATAAAAATACTAATTAATGCGTAGATTCAGTTTAGTTTATTAAAAAAAGTATGAAAAATTTGAATTTGGTAAAAAAGAAGAGTTGATTATATTTAGTGTTTCTTAATAAATCTAAGATTTTTTTTTTCATAAACGGGACAAAAAAAAAAAAAAAAAAAACAAACCCACCGGAAATTTGATCAAAAAAGATTCTGAAAGTTTTAAAATTTTCCTATTTTTTCTACTTTTTCAGAAATTAAATTATATAGAAAACTTCATTTCAGTATGGGAAGGTTTCAATTTCTTTTTTTGAAGGGGGGGGGATTAAGACCATATTTCTGCTTTTATAGAAATGTTTCAAACAAAAAATGATTTCATGCAAGTTAATTTACTTATTAAAACGACAGTAACCAACATTCTAAGAAAATCCTAAGATTTTGATTTGAAATTTATCCCCCCCCCACCCCCGTTCAAATTATAAAAATAAAAAAAGTTTATAGACAAGAGAGAAAAAAAAAAAAAGACTAAATTCTATAAAGAAATAAGTTTCATTTTATGTTCAAACAGGAAGTTAAAAAGGGGTTAAGAAATGGTGAAATGAAAGTTACAATTCCACGAAAAACGTTGCCTTATTTCTTTGGATTTAAAAGAAAAGAAAAAGGTTTAGAGATTTTATTGATTTTTCAAAAGCTAATAATAACAACATACGAAATACAAAATAAGATTTTAAAATAATTTTACGAGTTTTACAACATTCTAAAAGATTGTTAGAGCACGATAAGCGAGTATGACCATAAGTAGTTCTGTTCAAAAGCTAATTATTGCAGACTTTTAAAGACTCTGAAATAATAAAAAAAAAAAAAAAAAGCAAAACCGAATTTATGAGGATTTCCTGCTATGACACGTCTCCTTTTCTTCATTTATTTTCTCTTAGAAGATAAATATCGTCATTTTTCGAAGCATCCTGTGACCAAAGTTAAGAGGTTTTAAAAGAACTTGTAGTTTTCCTTGGGAGTTTTGCTCTATTTTTTTTTTGTCTATTAAACTATATTAGAAATATTTAATAATTGGTCTACTCTTGTTAATTATTAATAAAATTAACGTCTCCTTTAACTACAGATCATCAGTGAAGACAGTTGCTTGGGCAGATCACGTGACCATGTCCCCATAAGTGGTTCTGTTCAAATCAAAGTGTTTTTACAAGACTTGAAAGAACGTCTACACATGATCAGTCGGAATTATTTTATAAATGGCTCAGTATTGATCGAATATCAAAATCAACAATAAGGCTCAATCATTCGAAACATTTTAATGATTTTATTTATCTTAAGAAAAGCATTTATTTTAAATAAAAAAAAGATTAAAAAACTGGGTACTTCGGTTAGTGTAGGTAGAGTTTAAAAAAAAAATGACCATATGTATTAAAAAAAGAAAAGAAAAGACAAATTGTCTCAATAACTATCGATTGAATGACATACCTTAACATCATCCTCTTCGTCTTCTCCTTCCCATTTGTCGCTGACTGGAGCACGAAAACCTCGTGGTTCAAAATCGTCATTATCTGTTTAGTTCCCATGATTTAACAAGACACAGCATGGCGGTAAAAAGAGAAAAGATAAAATCAGACAAAAAGGAATGAACAATCGATATAAAAAGCAGCAATCGACAGACCAAGGGTCCTAATCCATAAAACCACTTCGAATTAACAACTCAAATGAATCCTTTTAAATTCATAGGTCTGGAAAACGTGTCTGTTGTTGTTTAATGTAACAGAAAAAGCCTTACCCCATTCGGCGTCCGACATCTTGGGAACTGGATTGACGTGACTGAACAAAGTCTCGCCGAAAATCTCGGGGACCACGTTATTTCATTCTCACGCTGGAATGTTCATGAGAATTACTTCGAGAGTTTGTAAATGATTTTCAAAACATATTTGTTTCGATAAAAATCAAAATAATTAGAAAAAATGCTTATGGATTTTAAACAAATAATCCTTAAATTTACTAATTTGTTTTAAAACAAGTTTCTCTCGGGTACGAGACTTGCTGTCACTTGTTCTAAAAGCCAAACTTCTTATTTCTTTTTTTTTCCAATGTACTTGGTTTTATATGAAAATAAGTTTAAACCAAATTATATATTTAAGTATGTCATTGGATATAAGTTAATCTTTAGAAAATTATTAAGTTAAAAAGTCAAATTAAATTTAACTTTTTCACAAATTACTTGTAGCGAAAAAAAGCGCCAAAAAAGAAGTAAATATTTTTTTTCTCAAAAAAGACTTTTAAATAAATGTAGATTTTAAATTATAAATAAATATGCAAATTTTATTTATTCCGTATTTAAATTAATTTTCATTGATGTTTAAGAAGAAAATATAAATCAGGGAAAAGATAAAAACAGTAAAGTTTTTAGCATACGGTGTCTATTGTCATTCTTGCATGACATCACAATACAGGCGGGTGCGCACATAGATCGACTTGGCCTAGTCTGGCACAAGGCCAAGTAAAAGTTTAAGAAATAAAACCCTATTACCAACGCAATTATAAACCCAAATACAGACGATACGGAAACACGCCCAAGCTTTATTTTCTACCCAAGAACAGATAATATTTACAAAGATACCAAAAAGATTCCACAATACAACACGCGTCGTTTAAATCAAAGTATCTATTGGTTAGAAATAAACATCACCATTTGAAATATTTGACCAATCAGAGAAAACTAAAAATCTATTTTTCTCGAGTCTACTTTCAGGAAAAAAATTCTTATAAAACTCCACAGATTTAAACTTTCAATATATTTGACTGTCTCCTAGCTGAAGTGAGATGAGATCTCTACCAACAAATATATTTATTATTTAATAATATTTATTATATAATAATAAATCAGGTTTTAGCTTTCTTCAATTGGTCAAATATTACCACTTACATATCTATAAGTCTACCTTTCATCCATGCTTTGAATATTGCTGTCACATATGATCTGGTGCACCTGATATATATTCAGAGATTCTTGATAAAATCAAAGGAAGAATCAGTGATATCATTTGTCCTGACCTGGCATCTCAGCTTCAGTCACTATCCCACCACAATTGTTCAAATGAGCTCTTCACTATGGTACCTAGACTTTATGAATTTAAGTGCAGTACTAGATTGGCAACAAAGTCTCATCAATTTACTGTTGAATTAGCTAGATGTAACTGTAAGTTCTATGCTAACAGTTTCTTTTCTTGCACTTCTTGCTTGTGGAACTCTCTGTCAGCTGCAAGCTTTCTGACCAACTTTGATCTTCAAAAATGTAAATGCAATGTCATTTGTTATCTACTGTCTTCCTGATTACTCTTTTATTGTTCTTGCTCCTTAATAATGTTTGTGTTTTCTAATTTTTTGGCACTCAGTAAACCCTTGTGTCTTAGTGGCTTTACTCCATTGCACGGAGTGAATTGGATTAAAAAAAAGAATGAACACCTTGTCATGCCAAAATCATGGATTTGTCAATCTGGGAACTTTATAAATTTGATACTTAAGAATATATGAAGCTGAAAGTTGGTACCTCTATAATTCCCGATGCAAATAAACCAGTTCTGGCTTCATTTTATCATTGTTCAATATAATAAAGATGTTATGGTATTTGGGATTAAATACTTTTAATTGAACAAAAAAACTAATCCTAATCAAATAAGGGTTGCACAATGTTATTTTAATTTTAAATACATCAAGTCAAAATAGTGAAAATGCATTTTCAGGTGCATATAAAAATAAGAGTACATAATACACACCTGTTGAGTTCAATTCCTGCTTGATTCTGTTTCATTAATTTTGTGCTTCCAAAAAGTATTAAACCTCACTCACTAAATCAGTATTAAACCTCTTCTCACTAAATCTGTTCACTTCAAATCTCAAGTGGGTCTTGTTTATATAATCCATTGCCTAAAGATGCTGGAAAAATATTTGTTTACTCTAGAAAGCACCTGAATGTAACTAGCATGTGAAAATTAAAATAGTAGATCTAGTTACAGTTTGATCTAAAGACAAAATGGTAGGCTTGGGCTTGGGCACCTCCAAAAATCTAGATGACCAGAGCAGACCCCAAATTTACACCTGTCCTGATGAGTGGTTGTGCTCTCAGTAATGTTCTTTGTCTTGAATTGTTCACCCCAGACCTTATATATTCATACCATCATCATTAAAGATGCTGGAAAAATGGCCAGTTTCTAGTACCATTCCACAAAGTACCTGACTCCTACAATGATCTATCTATATTTACAAGAGTCAGATCAGATCAAAAACAGGATATTGCTGTCATAACTGAGCTGGAGTTGCCCAGTCCTCACTGTTCACCCTTGTGGTGATTAATTATTTTCCTCAACAACCAAACAGCAAAACACAGACATTGAGAACAACTTTTTACCAAACAATTTTTGTATACCTTTGAATATTTACTATACAAGTGGGCGGTGGATTCTTTTGTTTTTCTATGTGAAAGTGGGTGCTGATCTGGATGCAAAATGATAAACACAGACCCAGTTTAAGGGTGCACCTCTAAAAAGTTTTAACCAAAGCCTGGAAACTGATCACTCCTCTGATCTACTTCTTAAAAGTCAATATCTCCAAAACCAAGCTTGTAATAGTTTATCACAATTGAGAAGACTCCAAATTTGCTCTAGTTCTGATGAGAGGTTGTGCTCTCAATGAGGTCCCTTGTCTTGATAGTCTATTGGAATCACCCCAGACCTCATATATTCATACCATCACTAAAGATACTAAAAAAATGGTCAGTTGCTAGTATCATGCCAGAAAGTATCTGACTCCTTCTGGAATGCTCTATCTATCTTTACAAGAGTCAGATCATACAAAAAAGGGTTATTGCTGTTATATCTGAGCTGGAGTTGTCCAGTCCTCACTGTCCACCCTTGTGGCTGATTAATTATTTTCTTCCACAGTTTCTATTGAAAAGCTATTTTTAGAATTTTAATAAAACCCAAGCATATGAAAGTGAAATTATTTTTTTTTTCTTAAAAATTGACAAAAATATTTAACACTATTTATTAGATTATTTATTTAGGTTTATGAAAAATGTATCAACCAACTACAATGCAATATTTATTATTTATCATATTATAAAGAAAAAGCTATGAAAACAAATTCTTTATTCATAAATTTATAAAAATGTATGTGAACAAAAGATCAAGAAAATTACGAATAACTGTAGTAATAAACATATTATTACTTACATATTATGTAGTATAACTGTAGTAATAAACTTATTATTACTTACGTATTATGCAGTATAACTGCAGTAATAAACTTATTATTACTTACGTATTATGCAGTATAACTGTAGTAATAAACTTATTATTACTTACGTATTATGTAGTATAACTGTAGTAATAAACTTATTATTACTTACGTATTATGTAGTATAACTGTAGTAATAAACTTATTATTACTTACGTATTATGCAGTATAACTGTAGTAATAAACTTATTACGTATTATGCAGTATAACTGTAGTAATAAACTTATTATTACTTAGATAAATATGCAGTATAACTGTAGTAATAAACTTACAAAAAAATTATGCAGTAGAAACTGTAGTAATAAACTTATTATTACTTACGTATTATGCAGTATAACTGTAGTAATAAACTTATTATTACTTACATATTATGTAGTATAACTGTAATTATAAATTTTGAAACAATGTGTTTTTGAGTATTTCTTTCATTTTCTCTCATTACATAAATTCACTAAAATAGTTTGCTAGCATCTGGATTTATACCTTTATTTTCTCGAGAAATGACAACAAAAATGTTAAGCATTTATATGGCGGTACAGTAATGGATAAGTGGCTCGGATTGAGGAATTAGAGAATTAGAAGTTCAAATTTCACTCAAGTACATTACATTCACTTACATGTAACTATTCTTGGGAAGATACAAATCCATCTTGTCTCCTCTCTAGTTATGGGTAAATAGCAGAACAGACTGAGTCCTATAGCCTTGGTTGGCTACCAGTCAAGGAGAAGAACAATTCTGAATTCAAAACCTCCCACTGTGGATTAAATAGCCACACCAACTCACAACTGGCCAAGCATGGTGAGTACAACTACACCCCTAAAAAAAAAGGTCAATCAGAGAGTGGTTCCTCCAAGAGGAGTAAGTAGACCCTAGATTTGAATTTGAACATGGATTTATTTACAAAAATAGAGTTTAATAATTTTGCTATCAATTCTTAAGACAAAAGGTGAATGCATAAACAAAGTTTTATATGTTTGGGTTTTATTAAAATGTTAAAAATAGCCTTTTAAAACAATAGAAATTGTCACGAGAGCATATAATAATGGTGTCAAAAGAAAAGCTTTCTTATTGATACAGTTTTTTGACAGGTATGTATGTTAAACTTTACCTTTTGTTAGTATTTTGTCAGTATCATAATATCTCTTGTTAAATTGTTGCAGATGGCATATTGGCCTGCAAATAGATATTGAATGACAGACAACAAGAAACAAAATGAAAACTTGAGTAAAAAATATATTGCCAAGTTTATTTTTGTTAAAGAAAAAGTAAATAAACAAAATTAATGTTACAGTGCATGAGACAAAAGTAATAAATGCAAGCTCATGTAGAAATTGAGAATAGCATTGTCCTGAGTAGGACAGTTTTCATAGTAACTAGAGAGTGTTTTGTTGCTTTTGAGGCCTTTTAGAACCTGAATCAGTCTTACAACAATACTGCTTAAAGTTTTCCTTGCAGTTGTTTTTAAAAAATGTGGGAGTGCTAACAGGATATGACAAAGTTGTTAAA